AAGAAGAAGAAGAAGAAGAAGAAGAAGAAGAAGAAGAAGAAGAAGAAAGAAAAGAAAGAGGAGGATTAGGAGTTCAAGGTCACCCTTAGCTATGTAGTCTTGAGTTCTAGACCAGTTTGAACTACTTGAGATTTGAAAAGGATGTGTAGGGGGTGGTGCTGAGGTGACTGCAGGTAAAATGCTCATCCAGCAAGCCTGACTCCCAATCCAATTCCTGGAACCCACATATAAGTTGGAAGAACACAAGTAACTCCACAAAATTGTTCTTACACACACACACACACACACACACAAACACACACATACACACAGAGTTTTGATTAGAGACAGGGTGTTTTGGTTGACCTAGATGCATCTGGGAAGAGGGAATCTTAATTGAGAAAATATCTCTATTGGATTGGCCTGTACGCATATGGGAGGTGTTGCCTGCATTAATGATTGATGTGGGAAGGCCCATCCCCACCATTCCCCTGAGGTTGGTGCTATCCTGGGGCAGGTGGTCCTGGGTGGTATAAGAAATCAGGTTAAGCAAGTCTTCCACAGCGTTCCTCCATAGACTCTCCTTCCCTGCTTGAGTTCCTGCCCTGACTTCCCTCAGTGATGGACTGTTTGTTACCTAAAAGTGTAAGATTATATAAACCCTTTCCGCCCCGAGTGCTTTTGGTCATGGTGTTTAATCACGGTACTAAAAACACTATGATATAGGGTCTCTTTATGAAGCCCTGGCTGTCCTGGAACTGGCTAGGTGGATCAGGCTGGCCTCGAACTCACAGAGAACTACCTGTGATTGTTTCTGCCTCTGCTGGGACTAAAGGTGTGCACCCCCACGCCTGGTTAATGAAACATTCTTTTAAAGTTTAAGAAGGAACGAACTGAGGCGGAACTGCCAGTTTGAGGCCAGCCTAGTCTACATAGCAAGGGCTAGTCCAGCCATGCTGCTCGGGGAGACTGGGTGTGCCTGTGTCCATCTGTTCAGCCAGCATCACTGCCTGGCTCTACTCCAGTCCTGGAAAGCAGCTTCTTCCTTAGTCTCAACCGATGGTGGAAACAGACTCCGGCTTAGAGGCTGGCTTCCGTCCAGCTTCCGTCACCTGGTGATATGCCTATGCTGGTGTCCCTAGGAGTCACCGGGAAGTCACTGGCTGTTTGTTTGGTGCAGCCAGAAAAGGGCTCCTTCCTGTCTATTCCGCTCACCCTCTCTTCCTGCCCAGCTCAGAATTTTTCATATTTGGGGAATTCCTGGGGAGGAGACCCTAATATTCTAACCTTATAGATTGATATCATATTACAAATCCTTAATCAAGGACATTTTCAAAGATATACAGAATTATCAGTAGGAAGGTCAGGAAAGCATCTCACAATCTACTCCTCTAGAGCATCTGCCTCCAAGGCTGGGGCTTTGAAGCCAGTAGAGCCTCAGGCATGCAAGCCAGATCCTGCCTTCCTTTTTCTTTTTAAAACAGGACCTCACTAAATGGTCAGGATTGGCCTTGAATTTCTGATCCTTCTGTCTCCGTTTCCAGAGTAGTTAGGATTCCAGGCTTGTGCCTCTAGGCCAGGCTCACCTGTCCTTACCATTAATAACTGGACTGCAAATAGCTTAGATTTGCTGGGGCTCTGTTTGAAACTCCCTTGTTTCCAGTTTCACCAGTCAATCCATGTGCTTGAGCTCAAATTCCTCACGCCTAGGGCTGTCTGCCCTCAGAGCAGGTAGTCCATTAATCTGTGAGCTAGGAGGTTGCACACTTCCAAAGTGACTATTTGTCCTCTGGGGAAGGGCTGGGAAGGTGGGGTGGTTCAAGACGGATTCAGAGTACTGAATTATCTCAGCCATAAGCAAAAAGCATTAGAGGAAGAAATTACACAAAAGGAAAGGATTTTATTGTCTCGTTAGTCGATATCCCTGGATGAGCCAAATGGCACAGTGTGAAACTGTTCACAGTCTAACAAAGACCGGCAGCTTCGGTCTGTCCTTAGGTCAACAACCCCTTCCTCCAACCCTCCCATTGGCGGAAGGAGATGCCATAATTTCAGAGACACTCAACTGGACCTCTGGCTTGGTCCCTCCTGAATGGACCTGGTTAAACCTCTATTCACAGGGAACTGTGTATAGTTTGGGACAAAACGCAAAGTCAAATTGGCTTTCCTAATCTCCCTGTTTGGGCCTCCTCCTGGGAGCATTTGGGCTTGTCACACATTCCAGGAGGGAGCCACAGCTCAGTCACAGCTTCAGCTGCCCTGGACAAGCCTGGGTGGTTACTGCCTCCTGGGTTGGGGAAGGACAGAGGCTGTGGGGTTTTCTCTAGGGCCCCCGTGACCTCATCCTCACCCCTACACCACTGACTTCATAGTCCAAGACCTTGGCCAAAAGCCCAGGCCATGTGAGGGTCCAATAAGATGAGACTGGGGGGTAGGGTTGTATTCCAGACCTAGCCCTGCTCCCAGAAGCCAGAAGCAGTGCTGTAAACCCAGAAATTTAAGAGGTGTGAAAGGCGCTAGTGGCCGTGGCGTTTGCTCTTTAAAGGGTAAAAACTCCCGAGGAAGTAAGGGTTTATTTTTCCTTCTCCATTTGCTCTTTGGCAATTCCATTAGGGAATCCCAGCGGGTGTGGGGTGATATCATGTCTTCCAGCTGAGAACGAGAAATCTCAGTGACTCTGTGGAATGGAACTGGTCACGCCTCTCTAACGCCAGCTGCTTTATGTCACATTTAAAGGAAGTTTTAATACTCTTCAAAAATCTACCAAAAGGAGATTACAACACAGGAAGTTCACACCAACCGGCCTTACTTCTCAGCATGGCAAATATTCAGGATACACAAAGTCCACGGATAGATATTAGAAGTAAGAGATACACAAAAGAAGTCTGCTTAAAAACTAACAGCAAGCCGGGCGGTGGTGGCGCACGCCTTTAATCCTAGCACTCGGGAGGCAGAGACAGGTGGATCGACTGTGAGTTCGAGGCCAGCCTGGTCTACAAAAGCTAGTTCCAGGACAGGCTCCAAAACTACAGAGAAACCCTGTCTCGAAAAACCAAAAA